AATATATTCTTCACGATGAAAGGTGATCTGAAGAAATGCAGATCTATACTTGCTTCTGGCCAATCATACAGCAGTAGAAATATTGCTCAATATCATTGGCCAAACTTGAGTATCCACAAGCCAAACACTAAAAATAGGCTTATACCAGCCACACGCTAGCCGGAATAAGACAAGTGTTGACTGCGGCGCAGGGATTTGCAATTGGACGCGTAGGCACCAGGTAATCGGGCATTAGTATTGATCACGAGGAAGGAATAAAAGCTTCATTTTGCTACCTTGTACCTTTACACCTTCACTTTGATTTTCTAATCATCATCAGACATAGACAATATCCAAATGGCACCGTATGCAGCCCTCGTCACAAGGGTACTCGAGGAACAGGCTTCACAGCCTCATTTCCGCAAGCGAGATCTCTCAGTCAACCACACCCAAGCAGTAACCTTGGGCGTTATGGGGGCGTACGTGGTTGTCATCGCACTCCTCTGGAACTTGCCCTACGTGCGCTGGTCATTATGGCCTTTCAAGGTACGAACTGCCTACCTGTATTTACCGTCTGCTTGTTACTAATGACAACAGATGCTGGTCATCGCCTTCCATGAATTCGGCCATGCCATCACCGCATGCTGCACAGGAGGCAGAGTAAAGTCCATCTCGCTAGACCCCCACGAGGGCGGCGTCACGCACATGCAGGGGGGCATCAGCGCTATCACCTTGCCGGCGGGATACCTAGGCTCATCCATCATCGGCGCTCTGCTGATTTTCGCTGGGTTTGACATTGTCGCAAGCAAGGTGGCAAGTATTATTCTGGGCGTGTGCTTTTTGCTTACGTTGTGGTGGGCGCGGAGGGACTGGTTGACTATCGTGACGATTCTGCTGGCTGTCGGGTTACTGGTTGCGTGTTGGTTTATCGTCCACGGGGAGGCGTTGCGGTGGGTTGTGGTATGTCTTTCCCCTGCCTTAATTTTGTTGGCTTATTGCTAACCGTCGGTAGCTATTTATCGGAGTCATGTCGGCGCTTTATAGCGTCTGGGATATTGTACGTCCTTCGTCTATTTCTTGACTAGCTCATGCTAATGTGAACAGTGTGACGATCTCATTCTCCGCAAAGTCAATACTTCCGATGCGAGTGTCTTCGCGCAGAGATATGGTGGCTCTTCCCGCTGCTGGGGCGTCATTTGGTCCATTATTTCCCTGGCGTTCATGGCCGTTGGCATTGTGGCTGCCATCGCGGCGTTTCCCGAGTCGTTCAGCGAGCAGCAGGAGCAATCCAAGCATTTCATTCCAACGCGGTGAATCGTGAGCTTAATAGCTATGAGTGATGATAATGATTGACTGTTTTGATTCTTCGCTGTTTGCCCGGTGGTGTTCTGCATGTATTAATGTTAATTCGAGACCGCAGCCTCATGCAACATGTGTTGCTGAATGCGGAATGCAACATTACCATTAACCTTGCAGTTCTTACAGCCCGACAACCCAGTCTTTCGATAGAACAAATTACATGATATAATACTATTACAACCGATTTTCTCAAAAACAGATTTCACTACCTCCCGGCTGGAACATGCCTTAATGAAGCTTTACCCATTGCGTCCCCTCCGGGAGCTCATACTCGTCCCGGTCAAAGTACAACGCCCACACCCCTCCCACTCCACCTTCAGACCCAGAAATCCCCAGGTCCAGCGCCTCCTTCTCTCGGGCTTGCTATTCCGGCAACTTCACAGCCAGCCATCTTTGCCGTCGTTCAAGCGTGACGGATCCACTCTCGATCTCGAGTAGATCAAACGGACCACAGATGTGACCTTGTGTGTCCCCCTTCCCGCCATAGCGCATTTCATTCGTCTCAGCGTCTAAAAGACCCATCGAGCGAGAGGCGGCGTCTCCCCGCTTAACGTGATCACTGCGGATGTATTGTCTGGCGAAACGGGACGATGGCAAGAGGGAAAGTATCAATATCAAGATCCATCTGAATCTCCATGCCAAGGTGAAATTGGACTTGGATGCTCAGCTGTATGGTGATATCATCATTGGGCTATATTGCGAGCCTTGATTTCAACTGTTGATGTGTTATCGCACTTTGTATGGACATATTTTTAGACGGTGCTTCAATGTTTGATATTGGAACCTGGGGAGGTAGAAGAGGCGAAGTACCTAACCTTTGAGAGATATACAGTCGTGAATAATTCAACCAGTACTTCTATCATGCGGTCAGCGCTAGACCCTGGAGATTATAGACGCGTCTCGCTTTGGACCACGCTACATTCTATCCCATTCACTGATGCTTTGTATGCGCGTGAGCAGCATAAAGCTCATATCACTCTTTAGATTTCTTTCATGCTTCTTCCCCAGCTCACTCCACATTGTCAATCTCGTAATGGAGGGTGAGTGCCGATGCGAAGGAGTCAATAAGGATTTCCCTGCTGGAAGTGTCATGAGGAAGTTCGTAAAAGCCACTTTCCCAGTCGCGGGACGTGCCTATCGCTTGAAGAAAATCCTCTGGGAGCGTTACAACAACAATTACCACCAGCGCAGGGCCATGTTCGAAGCCGAGGAATGCGAGACGAAGGATCCTGTCGTCGTCAAGTTCTTCCTGGAGTATGTCTCCGTCTTGTCTCATGCAAGTCTCGTCACTAATTTCATCGACAATAGAGCAGATTCATTCATGAGAGAGGATGAGAGTGGCAAGCGATCTATGAAAGTCAATGCGACTGAGCTTTTCCGCAACGAATGCAAGATCTGGAGAATCTTGTCAGACACGGGCTATACACCCAAGTACTACGGCAAGAGGGAGATGCATCAGGATCTTACCTTTGAGAACCCCGGCGGATACCTGTGGATTCTGGTTCTGGGACACTACCCAACCTTCAGTCTGGCTGACGCGCCTCTATTCCTGAATGCTGATGAGCTTCCGCGCATCAAGAAACAGATGCTTGATATGGCTGTGTAAGTATGCTCGATCTTGCAGCTTGAGCCAGCCTGACATGTTCGTATGACAGTAAATTCAACAAGAACGGTCTTGATTATGTTGGCGTGTCGTTTCTCAAGTTTGATCCGGAAAGTCGGAGAGTGTATGCCATTCCTCTTGACACGACTTGCTCGACACATAGCTGACAACGTTAGCTACGCCACTGACTTTGAATACTTCAGCGAGACCGAGGTTCGCGATGACCCCTTAGCGGCAAAGAATTCAGCAGCGCGTTGGGTTAGTGTCGTGATGGATGCTCTCAGAGCTGGTGTAGAAGAGATCAGGGGTCTTTCGCCGATGGACGTATATATTGGCTTTGGAGACTATGGGAGTGACTGTGACTGAAACTTGGAGCACGAAGATTGGATCTTCGAAAGATATGATTAGGTTGGATGCATAGAACTGTTGAATCAGAAGGTGGATGTCATCTTGCATGATTTCAAGGGTTAATTGTAAGGTAGTACAATTATCGATCCGAAACCGGCAGCATTCTACAACATGCTCGCTTGCTTCTCCTTCTCCGGTCAAAGTCTTGTTTGTTATCTTTCCCTTCCTTTTGACACCAGCAGACAGGTAAAGATCTCATTACAATTTCTTGAAACTTCAATTATAGTATGTCAATCAAACAAAAAGAATAGCGTGAACTACTTCGGACATCGTCGGCTATGGCAGAGAGCAGCACACAGAAACGGCCCTTTGCGGGAGATCTTGCAACCACACTGATGCATAGGCAAGAGCCTTATTCTGCCTGCACCAAACATGGGCTGCTCGGGTCCATTGCCTTGATTTGGGACCCCTGGGATGGTCTCCTCGCACAATACCACCAGGAAAGGGATGACTGGCGATGGTGAATCTACAGATCGTCCGCATACCCTTCTCAACGCTCGGAACCACATTTCCTTCTCACAAGCATCTTGCACAGTTACGATCTGGCCGTAATATCCTCAGTTGAGTCAAGGGCGTGCAATCTGCTGAGCCCTGGAGAGTGTCAGAAAGAACTGCCATAAGAGTACGGGTTCGTTGATATTTCCTCGTCCGAGTTGCTCTCACCATTACGTGTCAGACATACCAGTGGCAACAGACCATTTTCAGCCTTTTAGTTGATCCACCAAGTTGACTATTTGAGTATGATCTGACAGCGGTTTAGTGGGACTAGACGATTAACAAGATTAGCCAAGACATAAACCTGATTTGGGGCCAGACCCACGGCGATGCGCAATTGTTTCAGTATTTTCTCATTCAATCACGTCGGAACCTAGCCTTCGGTTGGTTTGAAGTACAGCCGTTTGGTCTCAAACAATACTCGAACTACAGCATCCCCTGACGACAAACATCGAGAGGAACTCGGCCAGATCGTTCAATGGAGTGAAACGAACATGAGTCACCCCGTTCTAGATCTCGTTCGCCATGCTTTGCAGAAAAGACATCCCCGTTCGTCAAGAGGAAGATCCACTATGTATGCTCGGTCATTGTGCAACTAGAGCGCATACAGGCTGATAGAGACTTTCTTAGCAACTTCCCCAAACAGAGGAACTCGATCTGGGAGGAAATACCAGGCAATGTTCTTACTAAGATACTGGCACACTGCACACTGACAGACATCTATTCCTTGATGTTGTCCTGTCGGGTGCTGTATCGACGAATCCACCAAGAAGAGTATGCGATATCTTGCGAATATCTTCATCATCGAAAGCGCCGATATCCACAAAACAGCGACTGCTCTCCAGGAGATGACCTGACATTCATCTCTGAGCTTTTTCCACCCCAGCCACCGCAGTACACTGCTAGCAGGTCGCACGATGAATTCCCCCAATATTCCTTCGGCTATCTCGCCGACCTGACTCGCTGCTGGGTGACTTGCCTTAGACTGTCATACTATCTAGCCGATTACGCAGTACAGCATCATCTGCAGCATGATTCTGACGCTCAGTCTCTTTGGTCATCCTGTAAGACCGAAAAGGAAGTTATCCACAGCCGAGGTGTGGGCGTGCTTCAATCTCGGTTATTGTATCCATTGTACGTCGACCCAGTTGACCCCATGCCAGCCTTTACGAAGCTTTTAACATTTTCCAGGGCATACCTCGCATTCTTCCTCGAGACCTACGCAGATGCCCGAGACGCAGCAAGGGAAACAGGAAAACCCCATCATCTGCTCCATTTGCTCGAAGAGCAACTGTCCATCCTTCAACGGCCTCCATTCACAACGACCGAGGTCCTCCTCTCAACTCACCACTGCATGCATCTCCTCTGCTCTTCTGTGCGCCACATGATGAACCCCGAGTTCACACCCTCCTCGACCGGAAGCTGGCTTAGTCTTCTCCTCACGTCATCCACGCTCGAAAGGATCCTAGACTTTTTCATTGCCGCAGCGGACGACCAGTCCGCAGAAGCGAAGCACGCGCACGCCAGGAACATACAGAGCCATACTCACACGCGCACACACCACACACATGCCAACAATGTATCATCCACCTGGACGAAACGGAGGCAGTTCCTGCTGCGGATGCGAAAGGACTGGGATGAGTACCTGGCGTCTATGGATAGTGACCAAACGGTCGCTGACGAGCAAGAGCCCGTTGCTCCTCCCGGTCTAAGACAGGTATGGTTTGAAGCAGCTGAGAAGGAGATGTATCGACGAGGTGTGATTACGCATCGCTGTGAGGATCCGGTTTACATTCTCCATGGGTCGTGTATAAGGTTACATTGTGAATTCTGTGATGACCAGTAATGAGATCTAAACTTTAGTGCTGCAACAGTCCCTCTATTGACGGAAGGCAACCATGGATTAGCAGCAATGGAGGACTATACATACATGTCGACGTGCGCTGTCGACAGTGTGATTTCAAAACCAGCAACATAATATTGACATCAGCCCATAATAATCGATCATAAGAAAAGTCTAGCCAGGTCACTTGTGAATAGAAATAGCTCCATGTTCAAGTGAAAAAAGATAAGCAACACGCGTCCGAACGCGGGTACGACGTGTTAAGCAAGAGCCAGGGCCCATAATAATACATTAGAAAAAATAAGGGGTATATCTATCCGGCTATCAAAACCCAGAGAAGGAAGAAAATCTGCAATGGTTTCGTTAGCTCCTGCAATGGCATCAAGAAAAGAGAAACGCACCATAAGGACACCAAACATCTTGGCGATCAACCATCGGTTACCGGATACGCGGTTCCAGTATTTCATCAACTCGCGCTGGGCTCCTTCAACATTGTCCACCACATCTTCGGTGTTGGCGTCAATCCGTTGAATCATCTCTGACTGCTCACTGACCATCTGAGCCAGTTGGCCGAAGATCCCGCCAAGTTCACTGATGGTACGTTCGATAGCGTCAATGGCTTCGCCTCTGGCCTGAATGTACGTGTTGTTCGTCTGCGCCTCCTCCATGACCAGTAATTGCTGATCTGTCTGGAACGATGGGCGCCCAAGAGGCGAGGGATTTGAGGGATCGAGCGTCAATAGATCTGAAGAACCTCCCTGGAAACCTGGTTGTGGCGTCCTCCGTCCGGAGGGGTTGTACAGTGGAGAGTCCGACCGTTGCGGATCCAAGACTTGCGACTTGGACGATACCGAAGAGACAAAGTTCTCTGTCCGAGATCGCGACGCTTGAATGTTCTTCGTTCGGACCTCGAGGACTTCTTTGAAGTTCGCACCGACATCCGCCAACTTTCCTTGGAGCATAACCACGACCTGGATGACATTAGCGTTGCGCAAGTCGGCCACTTGGAGTCCACTTACATTGTCATTGTGCTCGCCTTCCTGATCCGCTCTTGACCGATTCGTCTTCGGATGTTGCGATAATGTAAGCGCTTGGAGAGAAGCAATTTGCTGGTTCAGCGACGCCAGGTCTTGCTTGATGACGTAGGTTAGCTCCGAGATCTCGACAGGTCTGTCATCGAAGAGCGTCTTGCGCTTCGCCACTACTTTGAGATCAGCAAGAGGAAGGAAATCCGACCAGCAACCAACTACTCACACTCAGCCAACCGTTGTAACTTCGCAGTTGTCGCTGTGATACCTCGTCCAATCTCCGCGGCTCTCCTAGCAAACTCCGACCGGCGTTTGCTTTGTCCTTGTCCATCTGTGCCTGCATGCGCCTGTCTCCGTTGCGAGTCCGAAAGCAGTGCTTGACGTTGTGAGCCGACTTTGGAAGTTGCGATGCGTTTCTGGGCCTGCCCCAGGATGGCCTGAAATTCGCCCGTGCGATCCTGGATGGAGGGGCCGACCATTTTCAAGATTCCAGGTTTGTAGTGGCCGCTAGTATATATGTTTCAAGGCAGCTTGAAGTTGAGGAATAGGCTATAATGTACGGAGTAGAGGCCGAGCTAATCGATAAGGAGAAGGCAACGGTTGAGGCGTATCCGGCGTTAGTCAAATAGGGGGAGTAAACAAGTAAGCATCGAGGGAAGTTGGGATTAGTAGTGAATTAGGAAAGACTAGGGAGTTCCATATCGTCAATGTTCAAGAGTTCATGAACAGGAGTATTGATCTGGTCAAGAAAGACGCCCGTCCTCTGTCTCTATGGGGGCGGATTCGTGTCATTCCGGATGGGGGAAAGTGTGGTAGTTCTCCACGTGACAGGGGTGCCACTTGCACAGCCATTACAGCCACACTGTTGTTCCCCAGGCCGCATCAGGCCGCAGTTTATTTTAAGTACCAGGGGTACCTCCCCATCATGACCGGCAGAGGGGAAAAAACAACAATCATCGACTGTCGCTGAGGGAGAGAGTCAAATCCTCAGGAAGCTGATCGGCAAAATTATCTTTCACAACTCGCTGCTTTTGATATACCCCTACCCAACATTGACACGTCGCCGAGGCTGAGCATCAGGTGCTATCGCGATCCGATCGTACCCACGTCATTTTGTGAAACGTAGCGCATTTCCTCTCTAGGCTCCGTCGAACTCGGTCCAGGGTCCAGCACAACCTGTCTTGATTTCGATAACAAATTCTTCATCGTCTGGACATCCTGCAGATGTGCCTCCTATGGTGATTTGCTATTTGCGCCGACTTTAGTCTCAGTTCGTTGATGCTGCCAAGCTGTCCATCTCCCCCTCGTGCATGTAGCAATGGCTCGTCCATTTCAAGTTCCCTACGAACCGGAGTATGAGACGCTGTAAGTTCGCTTAGGACGGCGTATATTGAGCTCAGCTGACAGATGCTGTCTGGGACATACAGTTCATCTCCCAGTACCAATACTCCAGTGGCACCACAAGTCCGCGGCGAAACTCCAATTTCGTTCAAAACAAATGTTAACCGCGCAAAGACCAAGCGTTGGGTCGAGGCGAAGAAATATTCGTACGACGGGAATGACTGGGGTGACGATGAGTACGAGGAATACGACGATGAGCCGCCGCCGATGCCCCAGCCGACAAACTTCAGCCAGAGCACCAACGACCTGTCCAGAATAGCTCCTCGGGATCCGTCGAGACCCCCGCTACCCAGCATGGACCGATCACGCTCAATGGATCAGGTGGCAACGCTCGGTGTAGGACCTGCTGAAAGTCGCAGTCGGTCGGCAGACCGCAATGCTGTCGAGGGCACTGCGGGCAGTGCTCCCTTGAACAAGCCTCTGCCTTTCGTGCGCCCTGCCGACATCTACAAACGCATGCAAGAGAGACGCCAACAGTCGCCAGACACTCCTCGGAATGACAGTCCCTCCGGTCTGGGCCGTTCCCATACTGAACCTGTCTCTACATCTCAGCTGCCTGCCACCGCAGACCACGAACTTCAACTGGGGCCGGGACCTAATGCGCCGAACGATGTCGGTCACGGCAAGGTCGACGACTCAAGTGCCACTCCAAGAACCGCGCCTGGTGCCGCAAGCCTTGAGCTCCCTGATGTCAGACGACTTTCTGGCTTCGACGCTGACTTTTTGGCTTCGGATTCAAGCGTGCAGAAAGAGCAGAGCTCTGACCTTCAACAAACCCATCAGCTACAGCACAACCCGTCGCTCGGGTTCCGTTCAGTTGTACACCAAGCATTCGACGTTCCCGACACTCCAAGCACCACTGTCGACAGTGTTGCACGATCCAATAGTGATAGCACGTCGGTCATCAGTCCCATCATAGGTACTCGCGGTCCGAACGAAGAAAAGACGCCAACAATCGTGGAGGAGCCCGGTGAACTCTCAACACCGAAAGACACCAACAATCAGGCTACGGTATTTAAGCTTGGTCATCGTCGAGATCTTAGCCTTCCCAGCCCAGGTAACAGCCCTTCGAGGAAACCGATTATCAATAACACTGCCGAGGCAGCTCCTCCGTCTGTGCTGGCAGAGTTGTCGTCGGAGACGCCTTCAGACTCCCCTCGAGACAGCTCCTCCTCGTTCCACCAGCCACTGCCACATAGAGCCTCTGTGCTACTGCCTCAGACTGGTTCCGACAGCGATCTACCAGCGCCGCTCAACTTTGGCGCCAACCAGCCTGCAGATTCCCCCATCAAAAGCCATGAAGAAATTCCAGTTATCATCCCTTCAAACAGCGCAGAAACTTCGCCTCAGGATACCGAGAGTGATCGGTTGAGAAAGGAAATAATTCGCTCCTTAAGCCGGGAAACCACGCCTTCAGCGGAAACAGAGCAGCAAAATCCTACCAGGCCACAGACTGCTCGACAAGACACAGAGACCAGTCGACAAGATAGTCTGATCCCCAGTGAATACGAAATATATTGGAGCGAGCAAGTCGAATCAAGCCCTCAGGATCTAAGGCCGCCGGCCCCTGTCTACGGCGCTTCTCAGAATGCTTCGCAGCAGGATCTGTACTCCAGTTCGCCTATGAGTGCTCCGGCACCGGCTGCTCCTGCTCAGCCTACTTCAAAACCTAAGTTGAAACGACGGTTCTCGTGGGAATCATCATCCTCGGAGGAGGAGGTACCTCCCGTGGAATTGCAGGCGGCCTCGCCGTCGGCTATCCCAATTCCAGGACAATTCCCTGTGGCAAACGATACGACCGAGCTAGCGCCAGAGACTGTCCCCAGCGAGACGGAGATGGCAACAGATAGAGGCCACGGTGGTGACCTCCAGCAGACGCCTGAGAAGCCTAAACTCACCCTAGTGACTCCTGCTGCCATGGAAAATAGCAGCGACTCGAATGAAAGCTACCTGCCCGAAGTTATCAATCGGCAAAGTATGGAGCAGCGATCCCCATTTCCTGAGCCCAAGATGCCACCCACGGTTGAGCCGACGTTATTGGGCTTCCGTGACATTATGGGTATTCAATCTTCTGAGGAGCGAGTGCGAGCTTATGATCGTACACGGGACCAGTTCGCGACAATCGATACTGGTTTGAAGAATTGGTTACAGGTGGTGATTCGTGCCCATCCGGAACACATGGATGTTGTGGAGCAGAGCATGAAGGCTCCCTCTGTCGAGCCTAAAGCAGTCGTATCCAAAGGGAAATTCCCGAAACTGTCGTCTCTTGGGCACTTCACCTCATCGAACCCAGATGGCCCTCCGTCTGGATCGGGCCATACACGACGTCCATCTGCCCCGCTTGGTTCGATAATGAACAAACAACAGGTCGAGCAACGGGGAAAGGACCTGTTACATACGGCGGGAGCCCTGAGCGGCCGAGCAGGCGAGGCCGCCAAGGGTTTCTTCGCCAAGGGCAGAAATAAGCTGAAGAGAGGGGAGACAGACAAGGTAGATTCTTAATTTCTTGGTTTGGTTTGGCGGTTATTGCATTTATTTATTAGCCCGTGAGAGCGAAGGTTGTGTGGTCTATATATGATGCTCCCTCGCTGCATCCGTCTTCTTTCTCTCTTGTCCTGTCTTACTTATCCTATTGTTTGATACCATGGTGTAATGAACATATGCAGTCCAAGTCAGAACGGACATGATTAATGCTTTCCTAACTATTGTCGAATACATCGCCGATCATTTGTCTCTCACCTCTAATTGCATGTTGATCAGTAGGGATTCCACCGAGTGCGCGGTTATCGCAGAGAAATCCAGCTTTCAGACTTTCAATCTGCCATAGACCAAAATGAGGCTGACGGTATGACTCTCAAGTGGAATACTGTGCAGTTTGCGAGTTTACCTATCATCAGACGGACAGGAGACTTGACCGAATCGACGCAACTGCGCTGGGAAGTAGAGCCACAGCAGGCAGCGGCAAGTGAGAGTAGACGACGAAGTGCTGATGATATCAATATAGCATTTTTATACCGCCAAACGAATACACAGGAACGTATACTTAGAAAGCCATTGCCCAGTGAGATGATGGTAAGCTCGCATTCCAATGCGCCGTCGAGCTCGTCTGCGTCAAAAGCTCAACTACGAAGGATTTTGAGAAGAAAAACAGTGTCGACAATGACAAAGATAGATCGAAAGCCTCTAAAAAGCGACGATAAGCGCCCATTCCCTGTCGATGCAACCGGAGCGACTCTAGCGACAGACTTTTGCATGGACTCGAACTGTCGGAAAGAGGCTGGCCTTGCACAAGTAAACGCCAAGCCACAGGAACGAGATCAATTGTTGAGGGCTCCATACCAGAATGCTACATTTTATTCTGGGCTCAGCGACAAGGTGATCACCAATAAAAATGCGATTGACGATGCAAAGATGAGTCCTGGTGGTGCAGAAAACGCAGAAGCACCGCCACCTGCAGGCGCTCCTCTTCTAGACCGTGTCTGGCGGGGCTTAGAGCAGTCCCCCGTCAACCTTGCAACTAGCACAAGCCTCTCTGTTCCACCTCCTCTTCATTGCATAAGCACTCCCTCCATCTCCTCGCTGGGCACACTGGAGGCGTATTCGGGCCTGCAGCCATCATCCAGGCTGGGACTGGGTGAGTTTGAGTTTGACTTTTCCCTTATATCTTTATGCAAGATGTCCCTATAATGACCTCGCAATGAGCACTCACTCCGAATACGAGCTGACCAAGTCCCCAGCACGGCCGTCCCCATCTGCAAGTGCAAGAGCAGAGATTAGTCTTGATCTTATTGGCGTCGGTCAACCCGAAAGTCTTAATCCCAGCAACATGCTGAGTCCAGCGAATCAGACGCCTGTTCCTAGTGTTGCTGGCACGGCTACCACTCCGAGTCCTGGCCTCAGCCGTTGGCATGCTCGGAAGAGCCGCATGAGCAGCGATGAGGCTGAAATTTTCACTCATTCCAGAGGCCTCAGCCGTTCGTCTGTAACTGCTAGTTTTTCTTATGAATCCTGCTCTGTCGCTGGCTCAAGCAGCCCGCGGACGGTTTCAAATGCACAGGTCTCGCAGGATGACCTCTTTGACGCTGATCCGGCTGCAAGAGGATCGCCTCAACGGAAGCTAGCATCTCCCAAGAGCAAACCGCCAACGGAGATGTTTAGATTGTTCAGACGGAATCGAGATCCCTCGTTCTCTGATGAGCCTTCGCCAAAAGCTGACCGGTCGCGTCGCGGAGCTTTTGATAGGCTGGGTGTAAGTCAAGCCCGTTTTCGTTGGTTGCCCGTATCAAGCTGATATCTCAACTAGGCATGGTTCGGTCGTTCCCAGCAGCAACAGCAAAATAAGACTCAGGCGCATGGACGTGCCCCCGAGTCGTCTGTTGCACAGACAATGGAATGGCTTCGTCCGGTTTCCTCGCATCCAGCACCGGGACATACACGCTTCTACTCAGACGACCGGACTGGTCGTGGTCGGCGCCGGTCAAACGTGGAGAGTCAGACATCGTTCGAGGGACAACATCCACCGCCAGAGGGATACTTTGCGCCGGAATCCTTCTCTCGCTTCAGGCGCTCGCCCCGGGCGTCCAGGAGCAGTCAGCACTTAGCAGCGGCAGCCCCAGCATCTCTATCTCAGCAACCTGACAGTCGGCTCGCTCCACTAGATAGACTGCCGTCACCTGCTGGCTCCTTTTCATATAGCGGCAGGGTCTCCCCTCAATCACCACCACCTGTTCCTCCTCCACACCTCCAACTCCATCACCAACTACAACAGATGACACTACCACCAAGCCCCCATCATCCCCAACTCTCTCCACAACTCTCTCCACCCCCACATCTCACCTCTTCTATCCCCCCGGCTATCCCCCGCACCCCCTCCCGCGGCCGCAGCGTCGACCGCGCCTACACCCAAGACCTCCACTTCCGCTCCCGCAGCCCCAAGACCTTCCCCCCACGGCCCGACGAACGCAGCTACCCAAGCACCGACACCTCCGACCCAGCCAACAACCTGGGGACCTTCCGCAGCAACCCGCGCACCAGCCGCATCGGCGACCAGGAACTTCCCTGGAAACTCACGCTGCCGAGCGACTCGGACGAGGAGCACGCCGCCGGCGCGACCGCGCGCGAGGGGGAGAGAAGTTGGCTGGAGAGTACCACGCAGCGTCTTCTGCAGTCGTCGCGGCTGCCGACCTACGAGGAGGACTCAGAGGTACACGGGCAGCCGCAGCAGCCTGTTGTTCCGGATGAGAAGGCTGCGGCGGACCAGGGCGGGGACCAGAATTGCGAGCAAGTGCAAGGGCAAGAGCAAGTGCAGAGCCAGAGCCAGGGCCATCCGCACCGCGGCGAGGCGAGGGCGGTCAACCCCGACGATGCACCGGTGGAACTGCCCGTGCAGTGGGATGACGACTCGGGCGAGGAGATCACCATGTCGAGTACGGCGTATCCGGGGCAGGAATGGAAGCCGTTGGGGTTCTCCGGGTGGGAATACTAGATAGATACCCTTTTTGTTCTTATGAGTGATGAGCGATGGTTATGGATCTGCTTTGGCGGGAGTTTTATGGTCGCTATGGGTATGATAAATGATTCTTGGAACGGCATATTCGTCTACAACGAGTAGAATAAATCGAAATGAGTATTTCAAGGCTCTATCATGTATGTTCATGGTCATCTAAATCATATAATACAATCGAGGGGAGAAGTCTTGGAGGCACAAATCTAGCCCTCGAAAATACTCTGGTTCAAATCCACCCCCATATCCTTGGCCATATCCTTCATTTGCTTCTCGATATCATCCTCCATGCCGCCGCCCAGATGCAGGAACTGCCGCACCTTGGTAAAGTAGAAGAAGAGATCGCTGGTGAACAGCACGAAGCGGAACAGGAGATGTCGGCCGAGGTTCTGGATCTTCTCGGCCCAGGGCAGATCAGGCGACTCGACGAGCGCGCGGGATGCCCACATGCCTGTGATCTTGACGCGGTTGACTGGCGAGCCGAGGAACTGGTTGTTCCCCTGGACGATGCGCAGGTTGCGGCCGATGAAGATGAGTTCCTTGGGCCATTTTTGCTCGTCCGCGAGGATGTCGCGGATGGCCTTGCGGGCGGCCTGCTGCATCTCGTAATGGCGCTGGGCGCGCTCTACCTTGCTCAGCCCCTCCAGGTGCTGGCGTGTGGAGAGGTCGCCGCCGCGGTAGGGGCGCATCATCGTGAAGGAGGCGAACATGTCCGAGTTGCGGATGCCCCAGCCCTCGGCGATCTCGCTGAGAGTGCGGTTGTCGAAGGCCAGCAGGGCCTTCCAGAAGCGCGCGTACTGGTGGCGGAAGTTGGGGTCCATGTGGATGTAGAGGCCGTGGTCGATGAGGACCAGCTCCGGCTGACCCGAGGGCTTGCGCCGGATGAAGATGTTGCCTGGATGCGGGTCGCAGTGCACCCAGCCCCAAAGGAACATTTGTGCGGAGAAGAGGTCGACCATGGTCGTCATCACGTCCTTGAGCGACAGACCTAGGCCGCCTTTGCCGTTCCAGCCGCGCCAGTGGTTGCGCTCCGGCTTGATCTTGACCAGATTCGGGTTCCTCGCAACCTTGGCCACCGGATCTTCGGTCTGGGGAGCATCTAACGGTGTCCCCTGGCATCCCGGGCTGCCTTCGCGCCAACCACCGAGCCACGGACGAGTGATGGACTCTCTGTCCCATAACCGGGTTCCTTCGATCCACTCAGCGGTCATGACACGCTTCGAGCTGAGCTCGCGGTAGACTTTGGGAATGTAGACGCGGCCTCGCAGACGCGACTCGCCGGCCACCAGCTTAGCCATTGTTTCCGAGTTGGTCGCTTCATTCTCAAAGTCCGTCTCCAGGAACAGTCGCTCGCTTATGTACGGTACCAGGCTGTAGAATGGGATATCGAACGTGCGGGAATAGACCCAAGTGACCACTCTGGTCTCGTTAGCATTCGTCCCCGAAGGATAAAGTGATGGACTTACTTGAAAGCCCACAGATCCCATTGGATCTGCTGGGAAATCTCCCTTTTCTGAACCTTGATAGCAATTTCTCGCCCATCTGCTAATCGTGCCCAGTGGACCTGTGCGACACTCGCACTCGCCCTAGCCCTGCGCTCCAACACCCCCTTCGTCGGATCCCCGGTGAAAGACACTCCAAAAACCTCCTCAGCCGACTTCCCAAAGTCCTCCCGGATCACCTTCTCCACGTCCTTCCAGTCATTCTGCGGCGCATCGTCAAACATCCGGGCAAACATCTTCTGAAACTCCGGGGGCAGAATGGCAGACTGCATGGCTATCGCCTGCCCGATTTTCAGATACAGGCCGCCATTCTGCCGGAGTAGATCAAACAATCGTTCCGCGTTGCGGGCGTGCAGGGCTGTGATGGATTCAGCCAACGGTGGGTTCGGACGGAAATTGATTTTGTAGTCTAATGCGACGAGGAGACCGAGCGAGAATGTCCGAGCCGTCCGCGTCAGTGAGGATGCGTAGAACTGAGTATCGATGGCGTAGATCACTCCGGTGGCTACTGAGAGGTAGGCGAAACGGCGGAGCCATTTGCGAGTGCGGGTGTAGGTCTTTGCGGGGATGGGTTTGCCTAACGAACTCGGAGAAGGGGGCACAAATGGTTTGAATTCACCCGGATGAACGAAACGACGAGGAGAAGGCTGTAGGAAGGGCGCAGGAAGGCGTCGATGGCCGTGAGACACGAGGGGGTTGGGCCGCATCAAGCGGGAAGCGCACGTCATTCGCGACGCCATTCGAATGAAGGACACAGAGGACAGCGACATTAAGATATCCAGTATCTCATGGTGTGTTGATGGATAACATCAACAGAGGTCTTGAAGTGATGGAAGTCTACAGCAAACAGAAACTTCCATTACGGTGAAGAAGAAGCAAAAATAAGTTCGATCGATCGATGCTGACTGCGCTGACTGCGCTGACATGACAACAGTCAGGAACAATTTCTGGCGGTCAGTGCTGTGGCTTTCGTCATCGGGTTCATCTCGCCCTTAAACTTTAGAATTCCACGACTTCAGTTATTACTTTCATTACCAGGGCTATGTAGAATTGAAAGAAGCCCTGAGGCTATAATTCATCATTGTCATGACTCCCCTCACCAAATTGCCCCTGTACACTCTCCGTATTCCCAGTATTCCCTAATTCCCGACAAACAGCCGCATACTCTCTCATATTATTCGGAATCGTTTCCTCCCACAACTGATCATCCTTGAGATATGCATACTGTTCCTGACACAGCGCTTCCGATACCATGGGCAACAGCGCCGGTAGATTCGTGATAGCCGACCGCACAAAGGTCTTCTTGAAGCAATTCCCAAACGCCGCCAGTGTCTCCGGGTCCGAGCAGATATGTTTGCCCTCAAGCATCGGACCGCACCGCTGTTTGATGATCTTCGCTGCATCATCGCCCAATCGCACCATCGCTTCTTCCTGTCGGGGTACATCCAACCGCTTCATCACGCTGCGGACGGCCGGCAGGAAGGTGTTGTTGCGCGTCCACAGGTCCCAGTGTGGGACGGTCGGCTGGCAGCCCTTGTCGCAGATTTCGCGCTGGAATTTCTCGTACAGGTCGCCTGGCCGGCTAACGAGTGCGGCGACGACTTTGAAACATGTTGGGGCGAGTTTGGCGGTTGCAGTGGTGGATGCGCTGAGCAGGAGGAGGATTACGGGGAGGAGGAAGAAGCGCATAGTGGGTACGTTCGTCCACTGCGGTGGACAGTATCAGGTCGAATGGACTGGAAGAAATCAGAAAAGAAGATGAGTGATGGAGTTATCGACTTACTAGTAACCGTAGTCATATTGATTGAATCTTGCTTGAGCCTTGAGCCAAAGATTGGAGATGGATCGTCGCTGCGGATTTCCCCGCAGTGCGGGAGTTTGGGGTACCGAGATGCTGTTATGAACTTACGAATTGAAGCTTCTCAGCGAGATAGTCCCTTTTTAGAACATCCACGAGCCACTTCGTGGTCACTCGCTCATCACATATCAAAAGCCGCACTGAGCTTACGACGTCTGCTGCTTTCCTTGCGTGAGAACTCTACTGGTTGTACCATCAGGCTCACGAGACGACGCACTGGGGTCCCGTCTGTGTCCGTGTCCCTGCGCGCTTTCCCATCACTAAACTACAGGAACTGCGATATGGCAATTGCTTTTTTCTTCGGTGATACGTCAAATCGAGCAGAATCTGCAAATATCTGGTACTGTTGACTCCAGGGAGCAGAATACTCTACCCTTTTCCCTTCTTAAGAGGAACCAGCTTCCAGCCTTTCACCAATTTCGCCAACTGATTACACGCTGCAGCAAAGCATTTTGCTCGCCACCGCTAGTATTGCTCGTCATAAGTATGAGCGATAATGGATACTCGACGCAAGGCCAAAGCCTCATGACGACAGCTGGCTATGACCACTGAGACTGCCAGGAACTCTTTGACTACTACTACTATACAGAAAACGATCTCCCTACTCAGTTCCATAGTAGGCTCAACAGAAGCCTTCCACTCTTACTCCCGCTCTTGCTCGCACAGCTGCAGACTGTGTGGATGGGCTTGTTGCTGGTGGACTCGTCCGTGTCTTCAGCTTCAGTACTTGTTCAGATACAGCCATTGGTCCACCCGTGATCATAAACGGCCCTTCTCTCGACAGATAGCGAAGATTTCAGGGTGGGAAAATGCCATCAGGGACTTCGCCTGTATCTCCTTGTAGGCCCCGAGCGTCAAGAAAAAGGTGGCGTCTTTAACCATTCAATGCAGTAATCCCGGAGGAGGCTAGAAACGTTACGAGAAGAGGATCTCGTATATAAACTCACTTTGCTCTATGTTGGCCGGGGTAATTTTAATGGTGTGATGGTGGAATTGTAAGGAATCTGTAGGGTGGGTCATAAGCCGACCTCAGCATGAGGTAATAAGCACAAATATATATCTCTAAAGGTGCACCGAAAAAGTATCAAACACTGAACTTTCGGCATTGAATTTCGAGTAAATAAAGCAAGAAACGTTTCTTCCCAAAGATCAAGTAGTCTAGAGTGACACTATCAGACAGGCCTCGTGCAGCCCGAGGCCTAGCCCTTCACCTGCTGCAACCTGCATGTCCCCTCTATCATTACCCCTCCACACAACAAGGTCTTCCTCATCGACACACATCGTCCGATATAAACAAGATGTCCAGATCTAACCTCGTAGAGATTGACTCTCTCGAAGCGCTCGTCATCATAGACAATGAGCTCGACCCCTTGTCGCCCGTCGCTCCAGACACCGTCCACGTCTCTGGCCTCATGGGTAGCCTTGCCACGGGGTCTCCTCACGACCTCAAGGAAAGGGGTGATGCTCAGAAAGAGCTGAGAATGGAAGACATCTGCTGCTCAGCTCACGGGTTGTCAATACTGGTGGTAAGGAGACTTTGATAAGACGGAGTTCCGGAGCGATGCTGAGTCTTCGCAGACAGCGACGAGAGGTGACGTGAGCCATTCAGTGCTCTTCGATGC